TCTGATGCTGTCTGCTCACAGAGGACAGGGCCATGTGTGCTCTGATGCTGTCTGCTCAGAGGACAGGGCCATGGGTGCTCTGATGCTGTCTGCTCACAGAGGACAGCACCATGGGTGCTCTGATGGTAACTGTTCGTGTATGACAGCGCCATGGGTGCTCTGATGGTAACTGTTCGTGTATGACAGTGCCATGGTCGCTCTAATGCTATGTGTTCACATATGACAGCGCCATGGGTGCTCTGATGGTAACTGTTCGTGTATGACAGCGCCATGGGTGCCCTGATATTGTTCACTCATGGACAACAAAGCTCCTACAGTGAACAGTACATTTCTAATCCTAGCCACTCAGAAAGCTGAGATCTAAAGATTATGATTCGAATCCAGCCTCGACCGTAAAGTTGACAAAAGTATTATCTCCAATTAACCCGGCAAAAATGTTACACTGAAACAAAACTTGGGGCTAGTGGCTTAGACCTGTAATCCTAGCTACTTAGAAAACTGAGATCTGAGGACCACAGTTCAAAGCCAGATTGGCATAAAAGTACGTAATACTCATCTCCAATTATCCACTGCCCTTACAGCTGAGTAAGTACCACCCAATTGAAGCAGCCTACAATGCCCGTGTGTGTGTGTGTGTGTGTGTGTGTGTGTGTACGCGCACGTGCGAGTTTCAGTTCTGGGGCTAGAATTCAGGGCCCAGGTGCTTTTTAGTGGTTAACTGGAGATAAAGAATTTCATGGATTCTCCTGAGTAGCTAGGATGACAAGTATGAGTAACCAGCACTGGGCTCCATATTCACCTTTTTTTTTTGGTCGGTCATGGAGCTTGAACTCTGGGCCTGAGCGCTGTCCTTCAGCTCTTCAGCTCAAGGCTAGTGCTCTACCACTTGAGCTACAGCTCCACTTCCTCTACATTCTTTTTTGTTGTTGTTGTTCGTCGTGGGGCCTGAACTCTGAGCCTGGACGCTGTCCCCAGCTCTTCAGCTGTAGACTAGCGCTCTACCACTTGAGCCTCAGCCCCACTTCTGGCTTTCTCTGCTTATGTGGTGCTGAGGAATCGAATCAGGGCCTCATGCATGCAAGGCAAGCACTCTACCACTGAGCCACCTTCCCAGCCCTCAATCAATTTTAACTTCATGGCAGAGGTGGCTTATTACAAATAGAACAAACCAAAAACAAAACAAACAAACAAAAACACAGCAGAGCTGCTATTATGACCAAGAACTGAATAGCAGCTTTTAGAATTAGAAATCAGAACTGAGATATTTTTTTCCCCTGCAGCCCAGCCTTCAAACTTAAAAGAGGTTTTAAGTTATTTCAATAGGTATTATTTTATATGATCAGAGGCACAGAAGCATAGTGTGCCTTCAGACTCCTCCCCTAAGAGTTCAGAGATACCTTCTTTGTTTTACTTATTTGTTTTTGTCAGTTGTGGGACTTGAACTCTGGGCTTGGGCCTGTCCCTGCGCTCTTCAGCTCAAGGTGAGTGTTCTGAGTAGAGGCATGAGCCACCGGCGCCCAGCTTGTTTTATTTTTATGAGACAAGGTCTTACCATGCAACTCAGGTTGGCTTAGAACTTCCTATGTAGTCCAGCCTGGACTTTGTGGCCCTCCTGTCCCTTGCTAGGATTATAGGCCTGTGCTACCATGGTTGGACCTGTAGTATCATCTTTTTCTTTTTGGTCTGGTCATGGGGCCTGAACTCTGGGCCTGGGCACTGTCCCTCAGCTTTTCAGCTCAAGGCTAGCGCTCTACCACTTGAGCCACAGTGCCACTTCCGGCTTTTTTTTCTTTTTGCTTATGTGGTGCTGAGGAATCGAACCCAGGGCCTCAAGCATACAAGGCAAGCGCTCTACCACTGAGCCACCTTCCCAGCCCCCCATAGCATCATCTTTATTGTTTTTATTCTTTTGTGTCAGTCCTGAGTGCTGATCCTGAGCATTTTTACTCAAGGCTAGCACTCTACCACTTGAGACATAGCTCCATTTCCAGCTTTTTGGTAATTAACTGGAGAATCTCACAGACTTTCCTATCCACGCTGGCTTCGACCCACAATCCTCAAAGCTCAAATTCCTGAGTAGCTACAATCATAGGCATGAGCCACTGGTGCCCGGCTACTTGGGGTGTGTGTGGGGTTGGGGGTGGGGGAGGGCCTCGGCACATGTGCCAGTACTGGAGCTTGAACTCAGGACCCTGTGTTCTCACTTAGCTCTTTTGAGCAAGGTAAGAACTACCACTTGAGCCACACCTCCATTTCTGGCTTTTTGCTGGTTAATTGCAGATAAGAGTCTCAGGGACTTTCTGTCCAAGCTGGCTTTAAACCTTCATCTTCCAATGATAGATTTGAGCCACGGGTGCCCTGCTATAGTATTATCTTAACAATGTTTCTAACTGGAGCAGACAAGTAGGTCACTAGTAGAGCATTTGGCTACCATTCACAAATCCCTGGATTCTATGTCTAGTACCACAATAAATAAATAAAAGAAAATGTCCCTAATCAAACCCGAATGCTTTTACGTTATTGTTCTTAAAAAGTCAACTATTTACTTTTCAAACATCTTCAGAAAGTTTATCATCCACACATACACAAACAAGTACAGGAGAGAGAAAAAGGGTCCAAATTCAAGGCAGTCACATTGCCAGGGGTGGGTCTCCCAGCAACCGAGGAGCCTGGCTGACAGGATGTCTGGGGAGGCTGAGGGAGGCTGGCTATGGGAAATACTGTGGGATGACCAGACAGCTGGGATGTCCGCAGGGCCTGAGAGCAGTGAGTCCTGAGAACGCTACTCCAAAGAGGTCTCAGTGTGCACAGAATGCCCATGAGCAGCTCCTCCATCTAGGTTAGGTTTTAACCAGGTTTCCTTAACAGGGTAAGTTTAGGGTACATTCTTTCCTAAAGCACTTGCTACTGGAGGGTACCAGTGGCTACCCCCAGGAGGCTGAGATGTGAAGGTGACAGTTCTTATCTCCAATTAATCACCAAAAAGCAGGAGGTGGAGCTATAACTCAAGTATAGAGCACCAACCTTGAACAAAAATAAGAGCAAAAGGACAGCATCCTAGCCTGAAGTTCAAGTCCCAGTACCCTCTGCCCCCTGAAAAATAAGAAAAAGAAAATGCAAGCTTCCCGCTTACAGGTCCAGTAGCTGCTAACCTGGAAGCCAGATATGTAAGCCTCCGGTAACCACATGGGGTCCCAAAGAAGAAAAAAGAAGAAACAGGTGTCAATGCTGTAGCTAGTCCTCCTTCACTCACTCATAATTTAGAACAAGCAATCCCTGGACTAACTACATCACTGTCCCAATACCTGGCTGGAACGGGAAAACATCAATCCTGGAACTTTAAGCACAATCCTGACAATGTCTTCTGCGTGCTTGGACACATCCAGGAGGCATCTCCAGAAGACCAAAAGTAATCACTGAACTCTCTAAAGTTCAACACATTTGTAAGTCTATTCCTCCTGAGCCCAAAGGATTATGTCTCCAGGTAAATCCATCTTCTATGTAAAAAGATAATAAAATTTGAACCACATTATAACTTCTGAGAAATTCTCTTTGTGTGTCTGTGTGTGTGCAAGCACGCACGCACACACACACACACACGCCCGTGTGCATGCACACTCAACAGTCCTGGGCCTTGAACTCAGGGCTTAAATGCTTTCCACTCTACCATCTGAGCCACAGCTCCACTGCTGGCTTTTTGGTGGTTAACTGGAGATCACTCTCTGGTGATTGTCTGCCAGGGTTGGTTCAGATCTCAGCCTTCTAAGTAGCTAGGATGACAGGTGTCAGCTACTAGCACCCAGACCGAGTGTTCTCATTTATTTATTTATTGTCGGTTGTGGGCCTGGGCGCTGTCAGCTCTTCAGCTCAAGGCTAGCGCTCTACCACTGGAGCCACAGCGCCACTTCCGGCTTTTTTCTTTTTGCTTATGTGGTGCTGAGGAATCGAACCCAGGGCCTCAGGCATGCAAGGCAAGCGCTCTACCACTGAGCCACCTGCCCAGCCCCGAGTACTCTTTCTTAATGAGTCATTCTTAGTGAGTCGCAAAGCCATATACTTAGTCTATTCTTCTCATCTGTACTGAGCCTTGAACCCAGGGCCTCTCACATGCTAGGCCAGTGCTCTCTGGGACACACTCCCACCCCTTTTAATTTTGTTATTTTTAGATAGGATCCTGCTAAGTTGCCCAGAGTGACCTCAAACTCGCAATCCTCCTGCCATAGTCTCTGGGATTACAAGCAGGTACCACCATACCCAGCAAGACTATTCTCAACACTACAAATATGTTTTTGTTTTTTGTCGGTCGTGGAGCTTGAACTCTGGGCCTGAGCACTGTCCCTCAGCTCTTCAGCTCAAGGCGAGCACTCTACCACTTGAGCTACAGTACTACTTCTGGTTTTCTGGTGGTTTATTGGAGTTAAGAGTTTCATGGACTTTCCTGCCCAGCGCTGGCTTTGAACCGAAATCCTCAGACCTCAGCCTCCAGAGTAGCTAGAATTACAGGCATGAGCCACTGGCTCCTGGCTTACAAATAATGTTTTTTAAGTCCAGTTGGAGGCATAGCTCTAGTGGTATATTCCCTGAGTTCAACTCCCAGTACCACAAAATAAATAAACCTGGGCTGGGAAGGTGGCTAAGTGTTACAGCACTTGCCTTACAAACATGAGGCCCTGGGTTTGGTTCCTCAGCACCACATAAGCAAAAAGAAAAAAGCCGGAAGTGGCTCTGTGGCTCAAGTGGTAGAATGCTAGCCTTGAGCTGAAGAGCCGAGAGACTGCCCCCAGGCCCAGAGTTCAGGCCCCAGGACCGGACCCAAATAAATAAACAAACAAACAAACCATCAGAGGTGAAGTTATCATAGAGAGCATAACCATAATTCAACCATAGGAATAGTATATTCAGTTTGGATTGAAAGACAAGGCCACCTGTTACCAGCACCTTTCCCTTGTTCCTTCTCAGGTGAGTATAGAAAATGGGACAGACACCTTGTGCCAACTCACCTGAACTCTTTGCCTTCGCTGTACCGTCTACTTGAGGTCCTTGGAGCAGCTGTCTCCAGGAGCAGCTTCTGGGTGAGCCTACTGGGAGGAGCAGAGTCTCTGCCATCATCCTCATCTGCATCTTGGTCACATTTCCATTCCTCATCTTCATTCAGTGTGGGCAGGTATCCAGATATGCCCTTCCCTGTCCCTGACCCTGAGCTCTGGTCACTGCAGACCTTCGGGCTCTCTGAGCCTGCCCTTGTGTATTCCAAGTAAATGTCAGACTTGAGGAAGGATGGATAAGTATTCTCCTCCATGGTAGACTGGATTTCTGTCTGGGCCTGGTCAAACATGGCAGGATCAATGTGCTGCTTCATAACGCAGTCCTTTATGAAGCTCTTAGTGGCTGGTTTAGCTTGCCGTGAGACGATGCCACTGCTGTCCAGGATGTACTTCCGGTAGATGGCTCTGGCCAATTTTAGCCTTTTTTCCTCATTTGCATCGCAGGGCTCAAGCTTCCTAAAGCCAGTACAGGCAAACCAGAAGTCCAGCAGGTCAGCACAGCCCTCCTGCTTCAGGAAAGTCCTGAACAGGCTGATCCCATCCTGATCATCCAGTAAGGAGTGCAGTGACTCTGCCCACCTCAAGTATGGTGGGGTGGGGGAGGCGCTGCCCTCAGGCTCATACCCCAGATCCAGATCTGAGCGCCTTGGGGTAGCTGTGGAGGTATCGCCTTTAATGCCGACACCTTTCCCAGGGCAGAAACTGTGGCTGACAGGCCTCGGGTCTGTGGACACCAAGTCTCCCTCCTCACCAGGCACTGGGGGTCGGGGGGCATCTTCGGTGAAACTTGCTCCGAGGTCCAAGGGGAAACCCTGCTCCTGGATATTCATTTTGGGACTCTGCTTCAATGAACAATGAGCGCTGACCCTAATACATCAGTACTTATAGCTCCAAAGGGAATCAATCTGTCCTGTTGAAACCATTAAGAGGACAAAGATTAGGAAAAGTTGTCCATGGATGCACCCAGAGGTTCTCTCAAGACACGCAGTGGAGCCCTCCCACTCTGTTTGGAGGAGAGACTGTTTAGATTTCCAGCAGAGACACGTTGACCCCATAATTTGTTCTACATTGAGACAACTTATGAAAACTTGTAAACACAGGAAAGCCTCTCATGCTGAGTGAGTGCACAGAACATGAAAGGGTACTTCCCCTCCAGGGGTCCTTTATGAGAACCCACAGAGACCGAGGGGCCTGAGGGCCATCCACGGTGGCCAAAGAGCGGAATGAAAGCACAAGGTGAGAAGGCGGGAGGACGGAGGGTGCTCCGGCTCATCACACGGGAGAGCAGCTACCCCACCGGCCGGGACGTGAACAGGCATACTACGGAGCACTAGGCAGACGGCGGCTTTCCCATGACCAAGCCTGTCTTTTCTGCCTACTGAATCACTTCATGCCTAGCACACAGCCAACAGGCGGCATACTCTTAACACACCTGCAGGAGCAGCTAGCATGGGTCACCTTCAACGTCACAGCGGGAGCAAAAGAAGAGCATGGCTCAAATCCACAGGAATTGGTCTATCAGTGTAGTGTGCATTACATCACTTCTCTACATCCACGTAGACAATCCTGGAAATGCAGAAGGGTGTGAGTTTGGTTGCTAACACCTCTTCTCACAGGAAGAGTCCTTTCAGAGAGCAAATAGTGAAAGTACCTAGAAGCCGGGCGCTGGTGGCTCAGGCCTGTAATCCTAGCTACTCAGGAGGCTGAGATCTGAGGATTGCGGTTCAAAGCCAGCCCGGGCAGGAGAGACCATGAGACTCCTATCTCCAATAAACCACCAGAAAACCGGAAGTGGCACTGTAGCGCAAGTGGTAGAGCTCTCGCCTTGAGCTGAAGAGCTGAGGGACAGCGCCCAGGCCCAGAGTTCAAGCCCCACAACCGACAAAAAAAAAAAAAGTACCTAGAAATTCAGGCCAGAGAAATTATAGAAAAATGAAATCAAAATGCAATTATTTCTTTTAGCTGAAGAAGCATATAACTGGGCTGGAAATGTGGCTCAGTGGTAGAGTGCTTGCCTAGCATGCATGAAACTTTGGGTTTGATTCCTCAGTACCACATAAATAGAAAAAGCCACAAGTGGCGCTGTGGCTCAGGTGGAAGAGTGCTAACCTTGAGCAAAAGCAGCTCAGGGAGAGTGCCCAGGCCCTGAGTTCAAGCCCCAGGACTGGCAAAAAAAAAAAAAAAAAGCGTTCAATTTACATACTTTAATTGTGAAATGAAAACCAGAACACTGACTCTCTCAGAAGATGGGAAAGTACAGCTCTGTCCACCAGATCACATGAATGCATGAATGCTGTCCATGGTCTTTGTTCCTTCCTATTATAGCCTATGTAAGTCCTCAGAGCCCACAAGCTCTGGCTGGGCCTCTCACCCTAGCCAAGTGGGAGACTACAATACCACTTGCCCTGGTGCAAGTGGCCTAAGCAAAAGGAGAAAACACACACACGCATGCACCAAGGTCACACACCTGGGCACTGAACAAAGGGTACAAAATAATTTCTAAAGCCAACAGGAATGGTGACTCCAGATTGACAGGCACTGGTCTCCATGAAATCCACACCCAACTATGTTCTTGCACTGCACCTACTTAACCTGCCAACAGCTGCTAGTGGCTGAAGTGCAGAATCAGAGTGAGTCCACAATTACATCCCCAAATGACATTTCTGCATCTAATGCCTTCTTAGGTAGGCTCAGCAGGACCAGATCTGTACTTAGGGCAAGGGGGCAAGGCCCTCCCTTGGCTGCAGGCCCTCTGCTGCTCACGGGCAACACGACTCTCTTCAACGGCAGTCACTTCCCGGGAACTCCGGATGTCTGTAGACCCACACCAGCACACTCTACCACACCAGCACAGTCTACCATCTTCTTGTTCAGGGTTCCATTACAGGCACTAAATACTTGACCTTACCCTTACAAGGCAGCTCATTATTAGCCTTGAGAAAGAACCAAAGCATGGAAATTGAAAAGCAGCTAAGCACAGCATGTTCAAACAGGAGGCTAGTCACTGTCACTTTTGCCAAGGTATGCATGTCTTCTGTGGGAATTACTGCTGTGGAATCCCCTCAGCACTTGAGATCCTGAGACCAATGGGCACTCATAATATTTAAAATATGGACAAAAAAAAAAAAAAAAAGACACTTGGGGCTGGGAATATGGCTTAGTGGTAGAGTGCTTGCCTAGCATGCATGAAGCCCTGGGTCGATCCCTGAGTACCACATACACAGAAAAAGCCAGAAATGGTGCTATGCCTCAAGCGGTAGAGTGCTAACTAGTCTTGTAAAAGAAGCTCAGGGACAGGGGCTGGGAAGGTGGCTCAGTGGTAGAGTGCTTGCCTTGCATGCATGAGGCCCTGGGTTCGATTCCTCAGCACCACATAAGCAAAAAGAAAAAAGCCGGAAGTGGCGCTGTGGCTCAGGCGGTAGAGCGCTAGCCTTGAGCTGAAGAGCTGAGGGACAGCGCCCAGGCCCAGAGTTCAGGCCCCACAACCGGGCCAAAAATAAATAAATAAATAAATAAAATAAAATAAAATATGGAAAAAAAAAAAAAAAAAAAGACACTTGGGGCTGGGAATATGGCTTAGTGGTAGAGTGCTTGCCTAGCATGCATGAAGCCCTGGGTCGATCCCTGAGTACCACATACACAGAAAAAGCCAGAAATGGTGCTATGCCTCAAGCGGTAGAGTGCTAACTAGCCTTGAGTAAAAGAAGCTCAGGGACAGGGGCTGGGAAGGTGGCTCAGTGGTAGAGTGCTTGCCTTGCATGCATGAGGCCCTGGGTTCGATACCTCAGCACCACATAAGCAAAAGCCAGAAGTGGCACTGTGGCTCAAGTGCTTGCCTTGAGCTGAAGAGCTGAGGGACAGCGCCCGGACCTAGAGTTCAAGCCCAAGACAGGCAAAAAAAAAAAAAAAAAAAGCAGCTCAGGGACAGTGCCCAGGCCCTGAGTCCAAGCCCCAAGACTGCCTCCCTCCACCCCACCCCGAAAAAAAGACACTAGTTCTAGATGCCAAACATGAGCTCTTCACAGATGCCAAATTACTGCATTATAGAAACAGCAGCAAATCCAAGAAGCAGCCCTTGATTATAGAACTGCAGCTATCTTCAAAACTCCCATTTTAATAAGCTAATCAAGTCTATCAGAATCGTTTTAAACTAGTTTTTAGAACCCAGAGGAAATATGCCCTATTATTTCACATCTATTTTTGGCTATCAACTGACAGAAGGCCTTCGGTGTCTATGGAAGCACATGGACATCTCCATAAACTACTGAAGCACTCCAATTCCCTACACCTCTAGGCTGCCACGAGAACAAACTGCATTTAGGGCACACATATACATATCGCACATACAATAGCTAAGCTAAGTGGGTGAGAGTCTAATGCCCACAACTTCAAATCTGGACCTATAACCACAACCTGTAAACTGATTCCATAGAGGTAATGTATAAATCTGATACAGCATACAGCTCTGGAGCCCAGGGCCACAGGTTTGATGCTTTCTAGCTATGTGTATGTATGTGTTTCACTTGTGCAACTTGAGGCTTCTGATTTACATTGAGTGTAGAGATATCAGCATGACTGACCTTTCCCCAACTGTCTGTCAGTTAAATTATTTAAGAGCCTGGGTTACTGCTTTCACATATAATCCATATGCTCATCACATAAAATTTTCAATGGCCAATGTAATCCTCCCCGCAAACACTAGCGTCTCTGAAATAAGAAATCTGACTAGTCAACGCGCTGAACCTCAAACGAAAACATGGCTTTATTTATTTTCCCAGCCTCGAATGCAAGTTCCTAAAACTAAACCCAGGTATTGAGACAGGACCTGTAAGTCCAGAGAACCAGCACAAGGAGGGGTGCGAAAAGGAGGGGTGCACAGAACAGTGAGAACCCTTCATAAGTTATCTTGGAAACGCACTGAGAAGACTCCCCAGAGGATGATGTATCACTGCTCTGCTGTCTACCGCCCAGCTCAAGTGTGCAGCTCTAGTTTCACTGGAGGGGGCGGGTGTGTGCGGGAAGGGCAGAACGGAGGAGGGAGAACCCCAAGAGACAGGACCAACCTGAAGGGGTGCAGACGTCAGAACAATGGCGTCCAGCCAGGGGACCCACAGCCTGGACCCAGAGAGGACCGTCCGGGGATTTCACTCCCTCCTTCCAACTTTTTCCAGGGAGGGCCGGGCCCGCACACTTTCTGTCCCCGGGGCCCGGAGGCGCGCGCGCGCGCACGCGCACACACACACCTGCGTCTCCCGGGCCGCCACCCCGTCGCACGCCCCGACGTCCGGACCCTTTCCCGGCAGGCCGGGCCGGGGCCCCTCACGCCGGCCTCCGCGCCGGCACGCCAGGCCCCCGCGGCCGCGCCCCGCACGCACCCGCCCCGCGGGCTCCGGGCCGACGCGGCCCGCGCTGACACGCCTCCGGCCCGCAGCCCGCGCGCCCGTCTTCCGGGTCTGCGTCCGCCGGCCTAGCGCGGCCTACACCGGCGGCCGCGGGCGGCGGGCCCTCGCGCCCGAGGAGCGCGCCCGGCGGCCCCGCACTACTCACCGGCGCGCGGCGGCGGCGGCGTCGCGGCCCCGGGCCCGGCTCCCGACGCGGCGCGGCCCATGCGCTCAGCGGCGGCCCGGCGGGCGGGCCCCGGCGGGGGCGCGGCCCGGGGCGGCCCCCATCCCGGCGGGCGGCTCAGCGGCCCGAGGCCCGGAGGCGGCGCGGAGCAGGCCGCGGAGCGCCGCCGAGGCCCGGCCGCCCGCTTTCACCTCCCGCCCCACGGGGACGCGGCTCCGGCCCGACTGGAGTGGGGCCCCTGCGGCAGAGGTAGCGACGGCCGCGGCCGCTTCCCGGAGCCCGCAGCCCTAACCCACCCGAGCGCCCCCGCCGGCGCAGCCCGGAAGTGCGGGGGCGGGACCTCGGGCGCAGGGCGGGGCCGCGGGCGGGAGCGAGGGGACGGGGTGAGCGCGGGGCGGGGCCTCTGCGCGGGGCGGGGCCTCTGCGCGGGGCGGGGCCTCTGCGCGGGGCGGGGCCTCTGCGCGGGGCGGGGCCTCTGCGCGGGCCAGGCAACGCTGGGAGGCCGTCCGTGCGGGCGGCCGCTGGAAGACGGCCACGCCCGAGCGCGGCGGACCCGGCCCGGGCTCCGACCGAGGAGCGTGGGAGCGGCGCGGTCGGACAGTGCCCACGAACCGAGGCCGTGCGGTAGGCAGTGGCAGGGTTTCTCTGCGGCACACCGCGGAGGACGACCTGGACGTCCGTCAGCCCCGGACTCGCGAGGCCGGTGTCCGCAGGCCTAGCCCGCGGCCTGGGGTGCGCGGGTCCGGGCTCCCGGCTGGCGGACCGTGAACCGGAGGCTCCGTCACTTGCACAGATTTCCCAGGAGTGGGGCTGTCGGTGGGCAGGCCGGGGGCTGGGCCGTCCGGCCCTGGCCCCTTGACCGCTCCCCCGTGCCCGCCCCTCCGGCCAGCCCCTCAGCAGGCGCGCAGGCCGAGGCCCCGCCCCTCCGGCCAGCCCCTCAGCAGGCGCGCAGGCCGAGGCCCCGCCCCTCCGGCCAGCCCCTCAGCAGGCGCGCAGGCCGAGGCCCCGCCCCTCCGGCCAGCGCCTCAGCAGGCGCGCAGGCCGAGGCCCCGCCCCTCCGGCCAGCGCCTCAGCAGGCGCGCAGGCCGAGGCCCCGCCCCTCCGGCCAGCCCCTCAGCAGGCGCGCAGGCCGAGGCCCCGCCCCTTCGGCCAGCCCCTCAGCAGGCGCGCAGGCCGAGGCCCCGCCCCTCCGTCCAGCCTCTCAGCGCGCAGGCCGAGACCCCGCCCCTCCGGCCAGTCCCTCAGCGCGCAGGCCGAGGCTCCGCCCCTCCGGCCAGTCTCTCAGCGCGCAGGCCGAGGCCCCGCCCTCCAGGCCAGTCTCTCAGCGCGCAGGCGGAGGCCCCGCCCCTCCCGGCCTGTCCACAGCATGCGGGCGGAGGCCCCGCCCTCCCGGCCGGCCCTACAGCGCGCAGGCGGAGGCCCCGCCCTCCCGGCCCTCAGCGCGCAGGCGGAAGCCCCGCCCTCCCAGCCGGCCGGCCCTCAGCGCGCAGGCGCATGCTCCGCCGTGCCGTTCGCCGGAAGCCGCGGTCTCCCGAGAGCGGCGGGCGGCGCTGGGGCGCTGGGTTTCTCCCAGCACCAGCTAAGGGCCAGACTAGAGTTCCCTTGTATCTATGCCCACAGTGCCGTCCTGCCCCTGGGCCGCGGCGCCCCGCCCGGCCTGTCGGAGGCGGCGCGGCTCGGGGCCCGCCCCGGCCTCGGCCTCCGGGAAGGCCGCGAGCGCCGCGACAGCCCGGCTTCCTGGGGCCTCACGGGCCCCACCCCGGCCGGCGCCTCGCCCGCCCTCCGCCTTGGCCTCCGGAGCTCCTGGCGGTCACCGCCCGCCCTGGAGACCCATGGCCATTGACTGTAACAGGTCACTGCTGTGCCTGCTCTCGGGCACTGCCGCCCTCAGAGCCCAGCCCTTCATCCTTCGCAGCTCCAAGGCGTGCACAGCAATCCTGGCCTCGGACTCCCACCCAGCTGCCCGCCGGTGCGCAGCCCCCTGCAGCCTGCCTACAGAGACACGGTATAGAGTGCCCAAGGTTGCTATGCGAGGGGAAGGAGCAGCATATTCACAGCCTACCGGGGCATCCCAACCTTCCAAGGGATGCTCTCAGGCCCATCAGCATGCCTCGGGTCAGGGAAAGGGCTATCCGCAGAGCATAGAGCGAAGCCAGCACAAGGCCACTGGATCCTGGTAGCAGGAGTCACACACCCGCTTCCAGCTAGGACAGCCCCAAGTCCCACGTGCTACACACTGGAGACCCCTGCAGAACAGTGGGCGGCAAATTCAGCCTCAGAAGAGACAGTAGATGACTACTGGGTGGGCAGTAGATAGCCCTCGTGGCAAAGCAGACCTCTGTAGGATGAGGCAGTCCCAGGTGGAGTGGACAGATGGCAGGACCCCTCAGGTATTGGCTTTGTGCTGCCACCGCACTCCCAAACCCAGACCCCAACACTTGCCTTGGTTCTGTAGAGCTGCTGCTTCGGTCAGGCCAGGGTCTTGAAGTTGAGTATGAGTCCACCCTCCTGCTAGCCCATGGCGGTGTGTATCCCCATGCCCTGGGGCCAGAACAGGACCCTTGGGCCTCCAGCTCCTCAGAGTCCTTGCCCTGAAGGGAAAGAAAGTGAGTCAAGAAGTCTGGAGAGGGCTGGGACTGTGGCTTAGTGGTAGAGTTCTTGCCTTGCATGCACGAAGCCCGGAGTTCAATTCCTCAGTACCACATACACAGAAAAGGCCAGAAGTAGTGCTGAGGCTCAAGTGGTAGGTACAGTGCTAGCCTTGAGCGGAAGCAGTCCAGGGACAGTGCCCAGGCCCTGAGTTCAAGCCCCAGGACTGGCAAAAAAAAAAAAAAAAATCTGCAGCCCTATTAAGGTAATGTGGTGTAGGTGCTGGGGAGGAGAGCCAAAGAGGTGGATAAAGAGGCAGGAGCCTCTACTCAAGGCCTTAAGGAAGACTCTTAAGGAGAAGCAGGCAGGGAAGGCAGCATTGGGAAACTGAAAAGTTTGCATCCTCTTTTCATACACAGAGAACTTTAAAATGCGAAAGCCCTTTGCTGGGAACAGTTTGCCACTATACTTGGATTCTAAATCTCATGACATTTGTTCCGGCTCTTTCCAGGAGCCAGAGGAGATACATAAAAAAACTCAAAAGCAGAAATGAAGTTATTTTCTTCAAGGCAGATAAAAAAGGGGTACTTTGAAATAAAATAGACTTAGAAGCCTTAAATATGTTCATCCACTTAATGGAGACTTTCTTTTTTTCTTGTGTAGGTACTGGGGACTGGGAACTGTCAATTTAGCCTTTTTGTTCAAGGCTAGCACTATACCACTTGAGCCACTTTTGCCTTCTTAGAGTGACTGATATGTAGTGACAAAAAAAAAAAAATTGTGGGCTATAGCAATAGATAGCAAATGAAGACCTTGGACAGGTCTTAACTGGGTTATTTGCCATTCAGTTGGCTGTTGAATTAGGCAATTGTCTGGATCCAAAATGGCCCAGAGGAAGGACCCAGGAGAAAGGAGTTGGGTGATCCAGTCCTGACAAATAAAGTCTAGACAGTCCCCACTGCCAGTCAGTTTGGGTTCTAGCCATGAACCCAGCACCAGGTAGCCCTCACTTGAGTCTTCTATTTGTGTGTATATGTAGTACTGGGGCTTAAACTCAGGGATTCTTGCTCTTACTTGGCTTTTTCACTGCAGGCTAGTGTTCTACCACTTGTGCCATATCTTCACTTCCAACTTTTTAGTGGTTAATTGGAGTCTCACAGACTTTTCTGCCCAGGCTGGTTTCCAACTTCAATCCCCCATTCCCAGCCTGCTGAGTAGCTAGGATCACAGGTATGAGCTACCAGCACCAACCTTTCTTCTTTTTCCACAAGCTTTGAGCTCAGGGAAGAAGGTAAGAGTTTGTTTGTGTCCCATAAAGGACTAGGAGCCATGCATGAGATACAGCACTGAGGAGAAAAGCTAGAGGGCCATAAATGGGTGACACAGTTGCTTCCCATGGGTCCTAGGTGCTGTCCCTGAGCTCTTTTTGCTCAAGGCTAGCACTGTAGCACTTTGAGCCTCAGCGCCGCTTTTGGTTTTCTGGCAGTTAATTGGAGATAAGAGTCTCAAGGACTTTTCTGCCCTGGCTGGCTTTGAGCCGTGATCCTCACATCTCAGCCTCCTGAGTATCTAGGATTAGAGGTGTGAGCCACCAGCGCCTGGCTATCTCTTTTTTTGTTTCTTGTGCCAGCAGTAAGGCTTAAACTCAGGGCCTCATCCTCTCGTGCTACTTACCCCCCTCCACCCCCAGTCATGGGGCTTGAACTCAGGATCTGGCTCTTGTCCTTGAACTTTGTTGCTCAAGGCTAGCATTCTACCACTTTGAGCCATGGGTGGCAGGTCAGGGCCTGCTGGATAGGACCCAGGCCTGGTGTCCAGAAGGGCCACTGGAAGAGGCAGGAGCCTGCAGGTCACCCCACCTCCAGGCCCTGGGCCTGTGACACCCCTGTGGGCCTCAGCAGTTAAGAGTTGTGCATCCCTACACACTAGGCCACTTATTTCCAACTTGCCCACCTCACTAACTTGGAGCCTTTGTCCCTCTGTTACTTAACCTAGGTGGCTTTTTTCACCCTGCCAGGCTCTGTCCTGCTAAGATCCCAGTACTTCTGTACCATTTTACATTCCAA